CAAAGTCAAGACAAGGATGATGCAAATTAGTAAAGAAAGCTCCTGTTGTTTCAGAATAGGAAAATCAATCAATAGTTCGTGATTATGAACCTCCTTTTTTAAGAATGTTCTAATGTCATTGACGAATGGTAGTTGATGCTACCTAAAACTGTTTTCTTGACGCAACATTCAAACCCTTACCTTTCAATCATGTACGGTTGGCCCAGATTGACCCACCAGGCAGGGTTATCTTCCTCCTCGGTGTGTGTGCAGGAACCAGTCCGCATGTGGGTACTGGTGATGCCGTCTACTGCACGGCTGGGTACGGCTGCGTATAACCCATAGGTCATGTTGGTGCTTGTTTGGTACGCCATCTTGTCAAGAGCAACATTGACACCTGTCAAAGGTACAAGCTGTTTCATTAACAATATTTACTTACAAAATGATTTTTTTCAACCATGCATACTTCAATGGATGATGCTTACTTCATATTTCTTCGATAAAAGCCTTCTTTAATGAGGGAATGTTTCTTAAGCTACTTTAAGAAGTCTTCAGGAAGGCTACTAAACCGTCCCATATGAGGGTCTACACGGGGGATCCTGACAACGGTTAACGGTAAGCTCAGCGAGGTCGACAGCGCTTAACGGTAAATTCAGGACGGTTGGTAACGCTTAACGGTAAATTGATGTGCATGTTCTTTGTCACACGGCAGATTTGAGTACCTGAATGTGCTGTTTTATTAGTATGGCCTAGTATGAAGCTCTCATTAAACCAGGGCCCCGCCCCTCCTGGCCCCCGAGTGCGTCCACTAATGTTTGAAGGGGGGGGGGGTAGAGGCCCTCGCGATGTAGGGGGCCCAGAGGTAGGCTCCCTCGGGACATTTTCTAAATCTTCAACAAGAGTCCGTAGGACACAGATCTCCGTGAAGTAATCATTATACTCCGTGAAGTAGGTACATGTATACCTCCTGGCGGAGTATTGTGGGTAGACGGTTTTTCGTGTTCGCAGTCAAAAAACTGGGTTCACACCAATGCAGCCAGGGGATCGCGAGTTATAGCTGCAAACACATAGCCAATTTTCTATCGGTCCGCCATGCCGCGACTACCATGCATATGATCAGAACATCTGCTTGAAAAATAAAACATAATTTACATCCATGCATAATATCGACGGAATACACGGCCTGTACAAACACTCAAAACCCTTTCGTCTCTTTATGCCGTGCACTATTTCGGATTAAAAGGTCTTTGTAATCTGAGAGTAAACAGAAAATATTCAAACGGCAAAAAACTGAACACACATTAAATATTCGATTGTGTTTACATGGGTACATGTAGGACAAGATAGGTGAGTTAAGTGCGGATTAAAAGAAGTTACATGGAGAGAAGCAGCATGCACATGTTGTTCTGACCACGTCCTATACACAGAACCAGAAAGGCAAATTGTAGAAGGGGACGGAACCATTTCATCGTGGTCATGAACTTACCTACGTCACAGTTTTTCCATCTGCCCTGGTAGACCGCGGTGAAAGAACACCAGAGACGGTCATGGTCGACGTTGGTACAGGAATTGTAGGTTTTTCCTCCGTACGTAAATGGAAAATGGCACTCCCAGTCTGAAAAATAGGAATTTGAGTCAAAGGCATGAGGAGGGCAACTGTTCCGTTCCTGTACCTAAAGCCTAAAGCTATACCCAACACTTTGCCAAAGTCAATAATTATTTGGCTTTTGTATTCGAAGCTACACATCCTGAAGTCAAGTGACCGTCTCTGCCGGGGAATAATTCGGAACAGTATATGGGATAAAATGATATCTCTCCAACTACAAGACCAGCTGAGTTTGCTTTCTTTTTTGGTAAAATTAACGGGGGAAAAATTATACGCTTAACAATCAATAAACCGATAACGCTTAACGTTGAATAAGAGCGGGCCGGCTACGATTAACGGTGAATTAAAACAACACGTAACGCTTAACGGAAAAGGGCATGCATGCCTTCCCATATGCGGGAAAATATCAATATAGAATCAGAGAGGACACCGCCATACTATTTGCTACTATTTAAGGCACGACATGAAAGGAACTAAGTCCACACTAACTTAATTTTATTGATTACAATCTCTGAAGACCCCCAAACTAGTGTGCGGGGGCGAACAAAAAATTCCAGCCAAAATGCTACTAAACCACGGGAATAGAAAGCTGATATTGTTGAGATGCGGTAGTAGCGTAGCGACGTTTACGACAAGACGGAACACACGGGCCTTTGAGAGTAGACATTGTACTTAGTCCTAAAGTTCTGTGGAACCTGGGTGCCATCCTGTGTAGCCTGTAGTTACCGCTGGCTCCCTATTGTCGGTAGCTACCATTGACGACGGAAGAGAGGCTTCAGCCACAGATGTTTAGA